AACCTCCATCCATAGTTCATCAGGCACTCTGTCTGTTCAGATCTAGTCCCTTAAATCTATCTCTCATTTCTACTGTATAGTCATAAGGGATTTGATTTAGCTCATACCTGAATGGTCTAGCGGTTTTCTCCACTTTCTTCAATTTCAGTCTGAATTTGGCAATAAGGAGTTCATGATCTGAGCCAGTCAGCTCCCAGTCTTGTTTTTGCTGACTGTATAGAGCTTTTCCATCTTTGGCTGCAAAGAATATAATCAATCTGATTTCGGTGTTGACCATCTGGTGATGTCCATGTGTAGACTCTTCTCTTGTGTTGTTGGAAGAAGGTGTTTGCTATAACCAGTGCGTTCTCTTGGCAGAACTCTATTAGCCTTTGCCCTGCTTCATTCCGTACCCCAAGGCCAAATGTGCCTGTTACCCCAAGTGTTTCTTGACTTCCTACTTTTGCATTCCAGTCCCCTATAATGAAAAGGACATCCTTTTAGGGTGTTAGCTCTAGAAGGTCTTGTAAGTCTTCATAGAACTGTTCAACGTCAGCCTCTTCAGCGTTACTGGTCGGGACACAGACTTGGATTACCGTGATATTGAATAGTTTGTCACACTCACATGAACAATGTCACACTCACATGAACAATGTTTTTTTATCTTCTGCAAAACTCCTGTTAAAGACACTGCTCATCATCATTCTTGGGTTCTTTATCCTAAGATTTACACAAATTTGTCTTGGACTGAGAGCCAGAAAAGGATTCTCTCTCCCAAAATTGTTATGTTTCTTTTTATCAGATAAGAACTTTAACAACTGGTGTGTTCCTTTTTGGAATTTAGTTCATGTATACTGACACTTGAAAACAGCACTAAATTTTAATGTTCTAAGTACAATTACTATCTTACCTCAGTTTCTAGACAGAATTTTCTTCCCATTCCATCTTTATGGTTTCTAATCTGTCTGACTTTAACATTTCTTTTGTATATTCGTCCTCACTCTAAACTACGTCAAACCCTTGGAATTAGATGGGGCACCAAAAACAAAACACTGGAACAGGACCCAAACTCTGCCTTACGAGCGGAAATAGAAACTCTTTCAATGTATCTCTAGGATTTATCAAGAGAGAGAATTAAAGAGCAGTAAAGAAAAATGCTGATAAATGCGCTTTGTCTTGGTGACCAAACTATTCCACCTGGGACACCAGTGAGCATACTTTACAATGGAGACACATCCAAGGCAATTATTAGGAACATTTGCCCATGGGTATTTTTCCTTTTCTTCTCTCCTCATTCTTCTCCCTTTTTAACTTATTTGGTTTTACTTCAGGCCCACTGGGAACACTTAGGTATGAGCTGAGTGATACGGGAGCTAAAGAAGAGTTGCATATTTGTCAGATTATATACTCAGAGCCACTGCATTGTTTGTGTTTCACATCTCACAAAGAAAAGTCACAAGGGACACATTTGAGCATCAGTACTTACTGAACACTGTGAATAATTCATCTGAAATCTACACAGATACATGAGCCTTAAGCTTAAGAACTGAAATCAAATTTCTATTTCTGGTCAAGTAACATCCCTTAAACTCAATTATCACCCCCCAAATTTGAAACGAATGTTCAACCACCCATTTCTTTAAAATATTTATATATCACCACAGTTTTAATTAAATTCTGATACGGCCACATTTATTTAATACCTCAATTTAAAAAGCCATCAAATTAAGCTACAGCATGTTATATGAAAGACTGAAGGCAGGAGAAGGGGACAACAGAGGACCAGATGGTTAGATGGCATCACTGATTCAATGGACATTAGTTTGAGCAAGCTCTGGGAGATGGTGAAGGACAGGGAAGCCTGGCGTGCTTCAGTCCATGGGGTCACAAAGAGTAGGACACGACTGAGCGACTGAACAACCACAAATTCATTCCCAATGTTTTCCATTTTTATATTTTAATTTGAAATCTTTACATCATAAAAGGCTCAGATTAGAAATGCCATTATTTATTGACATTTTTTCTAAACATACCAAGTTTAGAAATCAGAGAAATGATTGAGATCAAAGAATGAGATCAAAGATCAAGAATAGTGAAGAAAAAGAAGGTAGATGATGCAATTTACACCAGGGCTTTATTATACGCATCTTTTTTTTTTAAGGAGACTCTTCTTTCTTTTGGGCTTCCCCGGTGGCTCAGACAGTAAAGCATTTGTCTGCAATGCGGGAGACCAGGGTTCGATCCCTGGATTGGGAAGATCCCCTGGAGAAGGAAATGGCAGCCCACTCCAGTACTCTTGCCTGGAAAATCCCATGGACGGAGCAGCCTGGTAGGCTACAGCCCATGGGGTCACAAAGAGTCAGACACAACTGAGTGACTTCACTTTCACTTTACTTTCTTTTAGGAAACTCAGGTATATCGAGACAAATAACCAATACTGATTATCATCCCCTTAGCCAATCAGGTAAATTAATTTTGCATGATATACTTTTTAAACAAGTGTATGTGGCAGAGAAGGTGAGAGAAGGTGGCTGGAAAGGCTTGCTTTACTTGTTGGTTTCAAATCTTACCAGCTTTTTGAAAAGAGCATCTTCAAAAAATTTTTGCCTGCACTGCAGATTTTTGGAAGGGTAATGTGTCCTATTTCAAAAGCTTTGCTGAATTTGAAAAACTACAATTACTGTTTTCATCCTGTCATGTCAAAAATTCTTAGTAACTATTAAGGCTGCTCTTCATTCCCTATGCACACCAACCCTGACATGCTTAAAGGGTTCAGATTTGGCATTTAGTCACAAAAGGCACCAACAAACATAAAAGGGAAGAACTCAGCTAAATCCTCACATAGCTCAGGATAAAGCTTCCATGATTAAAATCCTGTGACCTGATTTTCATAAAGTAAAAAAACAAATACTTCTTTAAACAAATATTTTATCTGCCTTTAATTTTTTTCTTAGCAGGATTATCCTAATGACAGCCAAAAACTGCAGCTGCTTCCAGTTCTATTTAACAAAAAGTAATCTGGGATGTTAAAAATATCAGAATTGATTTTTAAACAAGGTAAAATGGCTCTGCTTCATAAAGTAAAGCATAAAGTTTTATTTTATGCAAGGAAAACTATAAATATCTAATTACAAACATCGTTATTTTGAATTTTAGGTAAGACGAGACAGAAAATAGTTATTTCCATCACTAAGCAAAGAACAAGACAAAATATTCGTTGCTGTTTGAAATTCAGAAAGAACAGGTAGCTGCAAACCTGATCAGCTTATGATTTTACTCAAGAAAAATATTTTGTCTTCAAAATAATTAATGGAAAGAACGAGAACAGGCTGACAGATAAGTCTCTGTACTACAGTTTCATATACAACATCAGTTCAGTTCAGTTACTCAGTCATGTCCGACTCTTTGCGACCCCATGGACTGCAGCACACCAGGCCTCCTTGTCCATCGCCAACTCCCGGAGTTCACTCAAACTCGTGTCCATTCAGTCGGTGATGCCATCCGGCTATCTCAGTCTCTGTGTACCCTTCTCCTGCCTTCAATCTTTCCCAGCATCAGGGTCTTTTCAAATGAGTCAGTTCTTTGCATCAGGTGGCCAAATTGGAGTTTCAGCTTCAGCATCAGTCCTTCCAATGAATATTCAGGACTGATTTTCTTTAGGATGGACTGGATGGATCTCCTTGCATATACAACTATAGAAAAAATTTTACCTTGTTTTACCCAATGAATCAGGTAGCCCATTTCTACAAGACCATGTCAGAATAGGATGGGACCTGTATTTTATAACTGCATAAAAATAAAATTATTCAAGTGAGTAAATTTTCAAATTGCTCTTGTTCTGCATCAATCTTCTGTGGAAAGAGTAAAGGAAGGGATCAGTGGGGAAAGACGATCCTTTGAAACAGAGTTGTTAGATCAGATGTACATACAAGTTAAAATATTACAGTAAAAAAGAATAAGAAGTCAGTCATCAGAACAGCAATGTTTTCCCTGTCCAGACTGCTTGGATAGTTTTTGGTAACCTTATTGACTCAAACAAAATTACCTGTATTTGAAAAAAAAGAAAAAGTCTGCTGCATTTCTGAAATACAATGAAGCCGTGATCGTATAGTGGTTAGCACTCTGCGTTGTGAAATACAATGAAGACTCTCCTAGGGAATCATCTTATAATGTCTGAGTAACTGTGGTAAACACAATAAGAGCCCTCCAAAGATGCCCGTGTTCTACTCTTTGGATTTGTAAATACACTAGTTCAAATACAGCAAAGACGGTTTTGCAGATGTGATTAAGGCTAAGGAATTTGAGGTGGGGAGATTTTTCTGCATTACCTGCGTAGGTTCAATTAAATCACACGCATCCTTAAAAGCAGAGAACCTGTCCCTGCTGTGGCCAGAGCAGACAGGACAGAACCTGTCCCGTCTGTGACAACAGACCGAGAGCCAAACAGATGCAATGTTGTTAGTTTTGAAGGAGGAGGAAGGAGGCTACTAGTCGAGGAATGTGGTGGCCTCTAAAAGCAGGACTTCAAAGGCAAGCAAATAGATTCTCCCCTGGAGCCTCCAGAAAGGAACACAACCCTGACAGTAACTTGATTATAGCTCAGTGAATCCCGTATCAGACTTCTGCCCCACAGAACTATAGGATTATAAATTTGTGTGGTTTTAAGCTACCAATCTTGGAGTAATACATTACAGCAGCACAGAAAACTAATACACTCGTACAGATAATGAAGAGAATTTCTTCTTTGACAAAGGAATGGGATGTCCTGTTAAAGAATAAAAACTACCTAGTGAATTAGCAAAATTTAAGGTACAGCCTTTCCATACAAATATGTAAATATATGCTTTAAATCCACTTTAAACCTTCCACACGAGAAACCCAATGTTAAATGTTACAAATGGGTCAGTCAATAAATCTGGTTCTCGTGTCACCCAGCTCCCTAGGCCAAAACCAAGTCTGTGAAACTAGAAAAAAAGGCCAGTACAGGGCAACCACTCTCCCCACTCCTCTGGATTACTCACTCAATGAATTCCTCTTTACACTGCTGTAGCATCTCACATGTCTGCTGGATCTCTTGCTCACTCAAAAGCACCAACATCCCAATAGTTAGGTGAAGCTTTTTAGGATTCTGGAAAATGCTGCTATCAACCCCATGATCCTGTTATCAAAGGGAGAAAAACAAGAAACTCAGCCCATACAAAACTAAATGGCAGGAACAGAACTGAGCAGAAAGAAATAAACTCACACATCCATGACCAACTGACTTTTCAACCAGGGTGCCAGGACAATTTAGTTGGGAAAGAAGAGCCTCTTTAACAAATGATATTGGGACAACTGAATACCTACATGCAAAAGAATGAAGTTGAACCCATACCTTATGCTATATACAAAACCTCTATCAAAATGGATCGATGATACGGGAGCCAAAAACCATATAATCACAAAACTCCTAAAAGACAGGAAAATGTTCATGACCTTGGATTTGGTAACAGATTCTTAGATATGACACCAGTAGTACGGCAACAAAAGAAAAATTAGGTAAATCAAACTTCATACTTTAAAACTTTTGTGTATCAAAGGACTATCAAGAAAGTAAAAAAGACAACCTAAAGAATGGGAGAAATATTTGTAAACCATATACCTGATAAGGGTCATACAGCAGGCATAATATATAAAGAACACTTACATAGCTCAACAACTAAAAGACAACTCAATTTAAAAAACAGAAAAAGGACTTGAGTAAACATTTCTTCAAAGAATACAAATGGCTAACGACTACATGAAGATGTTCAGTGTCTTCAGCCATTAAGGGAAATGCAAGTCAAAACTACAGTGAGTTGCCATTTCACACCCATCAGGCTGGTTATAATCCAAAGAGTGGAAAACACCAGGTACTGGCAAGGATGTGAATCAGGGCTATGAGATTCCCTTTAGGGGTGATAAAAACATTTGAAATGTTACAGAATTGGTAGTTGCACAACACTGCTAATGGACAAAATGCCACTGAATCATTCATTTTAAAATGGTTAATTTTATGTTAGATGAATTTCACTTCAATAAAGTAATATTTTTTAAAAAATGAACTGGAAGCCTGACAAAATGGTATGCCCAGGAAAAGCAGAATGCTACCTAATTATAGATTCCAATAATCTTTTGTTCCTCATTGGCTTTTAATTAGTTCAGAGCAACTGGGCCTCTTATGGCCTTACCCAAAGATAATATACTCTTTATAAAAGACAGTTTTTATCTTAGCAGACACTGCAGTATTTATAGGTAAAATATTGTGTTACGAACAAACTGTCCCCAAGCAAAGACGGGTGAAAAATGATTCAGAGAAATATCTAGACACTTGAGTTGCCACATCAAATATGGTCATCCTTCTCTGGCATCATCATTCCTTGCACTTAAAACTTTTGTCTCTGAAAGCAGAAAAAGTAAATATATTTATGAACCCCACTGTCACTTTTAAAAAGACATAAAATTCACTTAGCATACAACTAACCATTTTAGGGTGACAATTGAGTGGTATTTCGTGTATTCACAATGTTGTACAACTGCCAGCTCTCTTTAGTTTCAAAACTTTTTCAGCACCCCGTAAAAACACTTCATACTTATTAAATAATAACTCTATTATTTCTCATCACTTATCCTCTGGTAACTCTAGTTTGCTTTTTATCTCTTTGGAGTTTTGGAACTCTGCATATGGCAAATAAAATAAATCATACTAAATACAACCTTTGCGTCTGGCTTCTTTCATTTGGCATGCTTTCAAACTTCATTCAAGTTAAAGCATATATCAGTACTTCATTCCTTTTAATGGCTGAATAATATTCCAGTGTATGCATATAACGCACAATTTGATTATCCATTTAACTCTTGATGGCCATTAGGGTTGATTCCATCTTTTGGCTAGTATCATGAATAATGCTGCTTTAAGAAACATTTGTGTATAAGTTTCATGTTGACATATGTTTTAGCTCTTTGGGATATACACTAAGGAGTGGAATTGCTGGGTCCTATGATAACTCTATGTTTAACTTATTAAGGAATCACCAAACTGTTTACCACAGGAAATGAACAATTTTACATTCCAAGTAGCAATGTATGAGGGTTCCTATTTCTCTACACCTTCACCAATACTTAATATTTTCCTTTTTAAATTTCATTATAGTCATCCTAGTAGGTATAAAATGGTATTGCATCTACCATGAGGTGGTCTTGATCTGCTTTTCACTATTGACCAATGATGCCAAACATCTTCATATGTCCCTGTTGGACATCTGTACATCTCCTTTGCCCATTTTCTGTCTTTTTATTGTTGAATTATAAGGATTCTCTATATAATCTGATACTAGTCCCGTATCAAATCATGAATCCCTTTTGAAGGTAATGAGGTCTCAACTTTCATTAAACTCATTTTGCAAATGAAGTAAAGAAAAAAAGTTGAGCATCTTCTCCTCCAACAGGAACAAACAGGAATTCTACCTCTGAATTTCAAGTTCTTATCCCATAATCTGATCTCTGGGCTAGTAAATCAGCCTAAAGGCAGAAGAATGTATTTATCAAAGGCAGATAGTCTTATATCCCAATTCTTGGTTTGCCTAAGACTAATTTTGCTTGGCAAGAGGAATTAATAAAGTATACATTTTCTAAGTGTTAACAGAGCTTGACCTATTTTTACATCTGATGAAGAGTTTTATGATTCTACACATCAACTCAAATTGCCTCATTTAATGAAAGTGATTTTAAGGAACAATCAACTTTAAAAGTGTCGAGGAAGAGTAAGCGCAATGCTTATTAAACCCTAGCTGCTGTAACTCATGGCAGAATCTGTCATTTTAGAAAGGCAAGCAAAGTCCCCCAAATGATGCCAATATGCACAACCCTATCGCAAACTAGAACTGAGAACTGATCCCCTAGTAATAAGATCTAATATTTTCTAAGCCCTTTACTCTGCCCTAAGCATTTCTTACAAACTTTATATAGCCAACTATCTTGTGAGCAAAGTAGTAGTATTCACTGTTCACAGATGAGGAAAACTGAGGCAAAGAGAAATAAAGCCACTTTCCCAAAGAAACACTGGTAGGAAGCAACGAAGTTAAAATTCAAACCCAGGTAGTCAGGTCCCAAAGCCTATACTTTTGATCAATATTACACCGCCTCTCCAGTAATAGTTGCCCTGAAAAAGCTGGAACAATGTGGCTATCACCCAGAGGCAAGGCCTTACACATTTCAATAAAACTCACACAATAAATGGGTCTGATCACCACACTAGTCCTGAAAATAAGGCAAATCTCACAATTCCATGAAAAGAAAGGTAGTTTTAAAACTTGCCTTAAAAAAAAAAAAAAAAACTTGCCTTTTTTGAGATATGAGCATCAAAAGCATAATCCATAAAAGAATAAAAAAAGGGTTAACTGAACTTGATCAAAGTTAAAAACTGTGCTTCAAAAGACACATTAGGAAAGTGAGAAGAGTAGCCACAGAGAAAAAAATTATTTGGGATAAAAATATTTGCAAATCATATATCTGATAAATACAATTTTTTTAAGTTTTTAAAAATTCAGTAATAAAATGGATACACCATTCAACTTAAAAATGAGCAAAGTATCCATATAATTCACCAAAGAAGATATACTAATGGTTATACTAATGGCTAGCAAACATATGAAAAGACACTGAACATCGTTAGTCTATCAAAACCAAAATGAGATACCACTTCACATTCACTAGAATGACTATAATAAAAAAGACAGACAATAACAAGTGTTGGTGAGGATGTGGAGAAACTGAACTGCATATTGCTAGGAGGGTGTAAAATGATGCATCCATTTTGGAAAAGTTTGGCAGTTCCTCAAAAAGTTAAACATGAAGTTTCAATACAACCCAGACATTTCACTTCGAGGACTTTACTTGAAAGAAATGAAAGCTTGAGTCCACATGCAGACTTGTAAGTGAACATCACAGCAGTATTATTTATAAAGGCCAAAAAATGGAAATAACCCAAATGTTTATTAACTGATGAGTGGATAAACAAAATTCAGTATAGAAATACAATGAAATACTATTGGGCAGCAGTAATAATATGAATAAACCACAAAAACAATAGCCAAGTAAAAAAGCCAGATGCAAAAACTACATATTTTATGATTCCATTTATAAGAAATATCCAGAAAAGGCAGATCTATAGAGACTGAAAGACAGATGGTTGTCTAGGATTAGGCATAAGGGATCTTTTTAGAGTGACAGAAATGTTCTAAAAGTACATTTAGATTATGGTAATGATTGTACAACTCCGTAAATTTACCAAAAATGACTGAACCGTACACTTGAAAGGGGTGGGGTTTTGGTATGTAAACTATACTTCAATACAGCTGTTAAATATAAAAATGTGTATGTCTTTTCTTTTTAAGAGCATCTTAGCAATCCTGAAATAAGTTTTCTCCTATAACTCAATTATCATGGAATATTTTATTTGACCCTCTGATCAACTCTTAGTTGACTCTCTGGATTTGATGACTTCCCAAAGGTCTTTCAACATATGTTAAGAATACCATGTACATACAAAAATCTTCGTGGAAGGTAAGCTGTTATCTCAAATCGCTGAAGCAAATATCGTTTCTGTTAATAAATCATTATTAGGGCAACTGGATAACCATTTAGAAAAAGAATAAAATTATACGTATTCACTGCAACAGACACAAGAATAAACGTCAAATTAAAGACTGAAATGTAAATAAACAAACTATACAAGGAAAAATGGGTAAATTCTTCTTTAACCTGAATGCAGAAAAAGGTTTTCAAACTAAGACTAGAAATTCTGATGTAGTAAGAGATAAGACAAATAAATTTGATTCTTTAAAAAGAGAAAACTTTTATATGGCAGTAAATATAAGCAAGTCAAAAGACAAACAATACACTAGATGAAAATATTACAATATATATCACAGATAAAGGGTTAATATCTCTAATATATAAAGAACTTTCAAAAATCAAAGGAAAATGACTCAACTACTATTGCTATTAAGCAATGGACAAAAGATATAAACAAGACACTTCACAAAAATAAAAATGACTCAAACATGGGAAGATGTACATGGTTATTCAAAAAAATTCCAATTCTCAGGAAATATATACTGAAGTATGAGTGTAAAGGGC